TGAATAGTGAAAAACGACGAAATTTACTGTGAACTTCGGCATAGACATTGATCGTAAACTCCACGGAATATTAGATAGACGCATTTGAATTAACAAGGTAACTATATACAAGAAAAAAATCGCATGAGTCATGTAGGCATCAAACGCTCGAAAAGCAGTGACAAAATTTTCCTAACGGCAATTAATATCAAAACAATATTTCGACTATTCTATATATTTAAATAAGACGGGCAAAATCATGAACTATAATAGTAATTTTTTGGGTGGCAGCTACTACTTGGATCTGGAGCTTGCGACGGTCTATGTCAATTGTCAAGGACAAAAGTATATGCAGTGTGTTTTTTGGACAAAAATATATGCAGTGTGTTTTTTGGATTTCTTGTGACGCTGGAATGCGACTGCGGACGAACCGGAGCGAGGCAACGCTAGTGAAGACAGAAGCTCACAAATGCTGTGGAGAATCTTCTGTGCCCTGTACAGCTGCACAAAACACACTAGGTTGAGCCTGACTCAGTAAGGACATATGCAACATTTTAGTTATATTCAGACTCAGTAACAAAATATCTCGGTTTTTATCTTTATGAACTTTGCAGCCTAGCTATTTCGCTATGCAGCAGAATAATTTTGGTGTCTGCTTCTTTAACATCGCGGCAATTTCGCTGCATAAATTTCAAGCGTGGGTGAAAACATCTTGTTCCGCAAACTTTACAAGGTCAAAATTATATTCATTTCATTAAATTATTTCTAAGAAAGAGAACTATAACAAGAGTTCTTGAAGTAATAAATGTCCAAGGAAAAAACAAGATTATTGTGGTGAATAAATGTCAATATAATCGATGATGAATTTTTAGTATCAGTTTAAGCTTCAATTACAAACACGCATATGATTTCAGCAAAGGAAATTTAATAATGTACGACTATACGTATGTCTTTAAAAATATGCTTAAGAGAATTTAAACTGCTCATATATGGTTATTGCCGAACCTATGCATGGTATGTATATTGTTGAAAATGAGACCGTAGAGTTGACGATGCTTTGGGCACAGCGCAACTTGATTGTTAGGCTAGAATTTCGTTAGGAAATTGTGTTACGGAGGCGCTGGCTTAACAAGTTTCGCAGGTCATCTCTGCTCGACGGCCTCCAGTTCTCATTGCTCAATTTCGACGCAACTTCTTATTCGAGGCATCGGAAGAAATTAGAAAGAATAATCACAAAAAATCTTCGATTTTCCAAGATTCTTTAAATTAAAGAAAACTTCTTTCATTTAAAAAGACCTCTTAATAAAAAAAATTGTACATCTGCTGGACCCGCAACATTGAACTATTCCACTTTTTCTATCATTTCATACTAGCAAATTATTGATTAATTATTGCCTGTATTGCGAGTTTACTCATGAAACTATTATCTGTAAAAAATTAATTCTCCCTCATTCAATTAGAAAAGTTTTTTTCTTTGAATATCGTTTGCACGCAAATTCGAATAATCATGAATTAACATAGGAAACAAATGAATAAGTCGCAATCTCAAAGTGTCAGTTAGCAATGCCTTCGATGCCTGATTTGCGCACGGTCTAGAGGCTTGTGGCTGTGATCGAATGATAATTAATATATATTTATCATACATGAGCGCATAAACATGTATTGATCACACAAGAGCTCATTCATGATCTCATTAGCATATAACGATTATTTAAATTCTCTCTAACATATAATATAATCTCATTAATATACAATGAGAAAATACATGAACTCATAAACGTTATATAAAAATTGCGCTGCTGTAAAGTCCGATATTGGCGCAGGTGTAACGTAAAAGTTTATCTCTACTCTCACCTCCTCTTCTGATTGTGACTTATAGCATAGTTACCAAACGAAGCGTAAAGCACTCAAACCAACCTCGTAACTTGCAAAGGTGTACCTACTCAAATCATTAAACTATGAATATTTACGCTCTATTTTTCGCTCTCATCTCTTCTCACTATTGTTGGCTTTCTCTTCTTTTCGTTTCATATCGTTTGAAGTCATCTCATCTTCATCATCGTTTGAGGTTATCTTCATTACCTGAAGTCATTATTTTCCATCAGGCAATCTGAGTGTTTAACGCAGATACGTACGGTACGTGATGATCTAGTTAAGAGTGCAAGCGTTTCCGGTATCTCTCTATTTCGGCAGGATGGCGGGAGAGTTCGATCAGTTAGTTCATCAGGAGGTGCAGGAGGCAGGCAGGGATGCGGATGAAGATCGTGCGAGCTGCGGCTGGAACAATGCCTTTAATCGCGTTCACATCACGCCACAGCTCAGTAAACGCCTCGCTAAACGAACGTCAATCACGTCACGCCTACCGGTGAAAGGAAAAGTTTTATGCAATACTGCGGGCTTGCTACACTTTCGCGGAACTGGTACTCTTGCGTTAATTATGAGAAAAATCAAACAAACTGAAATCGTGCATGAAAAATTTTTAAACTGAGATATGAAAAAATTATACACTTCCCTTCATTGTGAATGAAATAAGCTTTTCCATTAATTTTACCGACTCTGATGTCATTACACGAAGCAATAGCGACATTTATTACCTATAGGAGTGATTCCCCAAATACGGCTTTTACGTATAAGAAAATTTGAATACTATGAAATTTAAATATACTATAGTGGGCGGAAAAATCAACATTTATGCATTCTTTCACGACCAACATCAGAAGAAATAATATCAAAAACCATCAGCAGACAAAAAGTTTTGTACATAATAACAGGCGCTCTGAGGCAGCTTGTCACTGTCTACAAAACAGTGACCAAAATAGTCGCGGCGCTCGAATTGTGATGCACTGTTTTCTCCCGCACCTTGTCTTTCTCTTCCAGAATTATTTCATTTAGTGTACGTTGATATTTTGTTAGAGAAGTAAGTTTGTTAGAAGATGCATGAGTGAAGATTTAAATGGCACAGCAAAACATTTTAGTTCGGAAATAAAATAAAAAGTATCTCACCTTCAAAGGAATTTTTTTTTTATGAGTGGATTGAACAAAGACATGGGAGCGTTTGTGAGCAAGTATGAAACGGCGCGCTACATGTAGCGGCCGCTACATTTTCTGTAGCGGTAGCGGTAGCGGCGCTACATTTAAGGCAATGTAGCGGTAGCGGTAGCGTCCGCTACTTATTTAAGTAGCGACACGAGGTTTTGCCGCTACAGCGCTACCGCGACATTTATAGATAAAGCCTTTAGATTTTACATAATAGTATTAAATATTATTTAAAAACCAGCATGATACAAACATAATATAAATTACAGAATAAAACTGTGCGAAATTTTTCGGTGTAATGTTGTCAACCTCAGCCTGTTACTATTATAAACATGTTAGTTGTTGCTTGTTAAGTTGTAACCAGTTACCACTTACAGGTATTTTTTCGTGTTTCAGTTTGCTTACAGTTATTTTTACACAGTTATTTTTATGTTTCACCTTCCCTACATGGATGTCTACTTTAATCTGCCCATTTCAAAAATAATCCACATATATATACAAATAAAAGACTGATTTTTTGTGTATATGAGGATAATTTTTGAGATTGGTGGATTAAAGTAGACATCCATGTAGGGAAGGTAAAACATAAAAGTAACTGTAACTTTTATTCACTGTATCTAAGCCGTACTAGTTCGGTTAGGCTAATTGAAATAAAGTTGCATTGATATGTTTTGAAAATGTTTTATTATCATTAAATCTTCATGAGTAAATCCCAATAGCAGAACAATAAATATTTAGAGATTTCCAATAATATTGGTCATTGTAGCAGCTAATGTAGCGGCGCTACATTTTACTGTAGCGGTAGCGGTAGCGCTCGCTACTATCTAGTGCAGTGGTTCCCAAACTTTTTCAGGCTGGCGCCCCCTTGGGCTCCCTAGTGAATTTCTAGCGCCCCCCACAGACACATATAAAAACATACGCCTCTATGGGTGAAAAAACCATCGCTGGGAGTCATGTGCTGCACGTGTTGTGTACAAATCATCAAACAATCGTTGGAATTCTGACTTCGACTTCGGACTACCGCCCCCCTATCGCCCCCCTTCTGCCCTCTTCTTCCTTATCGCCCCCCAAAATCTTTCCACCGCCCCTAGGGGGGCGATATCGCCCACTTTGGGAACCAATGGCCTAAATGAAGAGCTAACAATTTGCTAGTGAAATTCAATCAGCGATTGGAGTGACCAGAATCTTCGAAGTTGCTAATGCATCAATTCTTTTCAGCCTGTGCTCTCATCCACATCTTCACATTGAAGCTTCATTCAGCGAACGAATGAAGCTGAACGATTTCCGATGCTAGGTCCAAGTTAGTCTGCCAAGCGAATGCAAACCTCACTAAGTTTATTGGTCTGCGTCAAGGAGATTCCGAGCGAGTTTTACGACGGTCTGGTTAAAATTCCCTGGATTTCTGTCGTAAAGTGTGACTCAATTTAAGAGATTTGAAGCTATCAGGGAGAGGCTCGCTGGAGGAAGACCATAATCTGCGGACAAACTCTCGAGATGACTCGTAAACACCTTATCTCACTGATCCTCGCGACTGACTAGAGCGAAAACTGAAAGCCAGGCATTTCTAATGACAATCAAACTTTTGATTATCCCTATAACAAAAAAGCCACTTCCAATGTCAGTCAAAATGTAATTGATTGCAAAATCCGAGAACGGGCAATACCGAATAATTTCAGTGCTTGGGAATTTTAAAATCGTTGATCGGGTAAGATTCGAAACTCATGCTTGCAAACGTGATATTTTTTAAAAGGTGCAGTCAACAATGCTTTCAACTTGGTTTGGTATAGACGAGATTTTTCTTAAATTTTAATTAAACATTAAAGAAGTTGTGAGAGTTTTTATGACAGACAAGCTCCTCGAACTTGTGATCGTGCGGAGACCAATAAAAGGACAAAGGCTTAAAAATATCAGATCTATTAACTTGTAGATCACATTCCAAAACAAAAGATTTCCGTGCAGAACTAATTCGTCCGTAAACTACTCACGTCTTGGATCGCGCTCATCGTCTCTCATCAACTGCCCCAACTCACGGGATGTTGATGTGTTCTCTTTCAACGCCGCTGTTGAGCTGACCCCCGCCAAGCCTGCCTGTCTGGCTTTCAGGTCTCGAGAAGACGACACGGAGAGTCCTGAACCCAGTGTGTCTACATTCGACTTTTCAGACAATGATTGATTGGATGGCAAGAGAGAGAACTGCTGGCGACCGAAGATCAATGTCGGGAAACTTTCGTCAGCGGTACCATTCAGCGAGGTTTCGTACAGATGAGAAGAATATCTTGGCTTGGGTAAATGGGAGTTCGTCTCCGTTATGAAGGAAGATTGCAGAACGTCAAAAGATATAGGCGGAATCGAGCTGCGTAAAATGTAATCATTCGAGTGAAGTTGAAAGTTATCAATTGATGGGTTTGCTTTCCGACTTTCAGACGTAAACTTTGACTTCTGCTGATTAGGTCTGTCGAGTGACTTCTGGTGGTGGACAGCGGAAGATACGTCGCTTGCCCATCTTGACAAATAGTATGATTGGTCTCTTGATTCACAACAATACAAAACAGAAGACACTAATAAAAAGAATGTTCTTACGATTAAAGTCATCTTGGATACCTTTTATAACCGATGTCCTATCATTTGATAATAGTTTAGGATGAAAAATTCGATTTAAAATATATTTCAAAATCGGTCCGAGACGTCGAAAGAAATTCGTTGTTTCGCTCGAGTTCAGAGGATGTAAGCGTATCGTCGAACAGAGGGGTTAACTTACTCTGTTCACTTCTGGAGTGCCACTGGGAGGGAAAGTAAAGCGTGAGGTGTCACCGTGTCATGCAGATCGCTACGGGAGCCTGATGGCTAGATAGCACCTCGTGAACAGCAGTGGGACTGAACCCTCTATCACAACCACCACTCTGATATCATTACAGTGCAGTATAGCGGCGCCACGAGATGACGTTTGTCGCTCACCGTGCAGATGAGGACGGTGGTTAGATAATTGGGCCATTCCCGAACGCTACAAACGAGCTTTACTACAGCGTACGCAAAGGTTGGTTGAAAAGGCCTATTTAATGCCACGTCGCAGCGGCGTTTCATTTGCATGCTAATTAATCACTGATATGTTCACTTGTAAGTCGCAAGATATGTATGTTCAATTGTTAATGTATGTACTATGTATGTTCACTTGTTAATGTCGCAGGAGACGCTGCAAGGTAGACGCTTCCAAAATTTATAAAGAACTTGATGTTCCGATGCCTATTATAGAATTATAGAACAGGCAGAGATGGAGGCTGTTGCACGGTGCGCAGAATAAGTGATAAGCGAGAGTATTGATAGACGGCAAGCATCAAAGGAATATATCACAGCTCATAATAATCACATAAATTTGACATTTAAGATAATATCAAGTATGTTAGTGATATTCGAGGCGAATAATGCGATACAAGATAACCTGTAGGCATATGTATGCCCGCGAACACACGATGACATTTTGATTACGATTCACGTCTAGAGAAGGTCGAAAACAAACGACATGCATCTCGATTTTTCAAAAAATCTTCAAAACGCGCATTTTTGACGATATAACGGATGTTCAGCACATGGCGTCTTCTGTACTTATATTTATCATTACCACAAATGAGCAAACCTTGACTTAGTACTGTTAAAATTCTTAGGAACGCTAAAATGTTCAATACAATAATTTTTATGCCAACAAATATAGTTGATTGATAAAAATATAGATTTTGCCATTTGGCGAGTAACCGAATATTTAAGACGGATCTGGGAATGTAACTCACGACAGGCGAGAGAACTCTGCGAAAGGAATATTTTAGGCTAAACTTTTCACATTATTGCAAGATTTCCATTTATATTTGATTTGGTTGCAATCTACGAGTAATTTTCAGTCTATAGGTTTGTTCCTTAACCCAATTTCAGCACTGTCCGCACTGAGGGAAGAGCTTCGACGACACACCGACACAAAGCAATCAATCCTGGAGTGTACTCTTAATATAAAGCGTCGTGACAACGTGAATTGCGACATGATTGAATTGATTCAGCATGCATTCCAGTCTTGTTCTCTTCAAATTACAAACAAACAAATAAATTTGAAGAGAACATCGGAAAGAGAAAAACAATCGATGTTCAATTGCCGACTGGAAAATTTGCTCGTATGTTTTTCTATCCCCATTAAAGTCTCGTTGAAACATATTCTAATGATGTTATATTTTCAGTGAGATCTTAGTGATTTTTAACGGCGTATTATGCTGGCGCAAGTTGTAAGTTTCCATTCGGTTTCAGCTTTAGCATTTCAAGATATTTGTGACTAAGTTTAATCGCAAAGATATCTCCAAATGAGTAACTTGTTTGCACCATTGAATCAAAGCCAATTGTTCTCTTGCTTTCCAATGAATATGCAGACCTATAAGCCTTAGGGAACTGTGCAAAATCCTGATATAAAATAAATAACTTTGACGCAGAAAAAATAAATAAAGCTCGCTAGCGACAAGGATGTCAGCCGATTTGCATAAATAAACAAATGTCGAGGCAAAATAGGCGAGAAGGCGGCACGCGTTGCACAGTCACACTATTACCATCTGCTCTCTACCGCAACGCGCCGTCCTCACCTCATAGGTCGCGAATAGTTGAACATTAATACTTGTGTTCAGAAAGATATTCAAGTCGTGAACAGATAGATGTAGAAACATTTTCTATGTACGAATAAGAACTGTATTAAATCGGGAGAACCCGAACTATTTGACGCATAACACTAATAGTACGAGAAGGCCTTTCCTGTCCTACGCAAACACTTTTGAGGTCATCAGCGATTTTTATTTAGATATTTTATACTGCATAAAAATGTTCAGTGTCTAACGAAAGATAATCTCACAATGATTCCTAACAATTTTTACATGGCGAACACTCGGTCCCAACGGCTCACGGTAAAAATTCCGAGTGATCTATCTGAGTAAGCTGGTTATTAGCGCAATGATTAAAAGGAAATACTCATAATGCTATAAATTAGCGGATTATATGAAGTATTATTGCTACGGGCATCCGAAGGTATGCGGTCATTGTACGGAACATTAAAGAGGTACTCGATCACAGCATATTTGAAGAACCTTCCTTTAAAGCAACCAGAGCATTCATTTTTTTACTGAATAGATTGTAGTACAACTAAAAAAAGCCCGGAATTCGATCAGAAATGACACCAATCTTCAGTAATGCTTTCACTTGACGTTATACATTGGAGGCAGTGGCTCGTAACTTGAATGGTCCGAACAGTCACAAATTTGCACGAGTCTACCAAACAATGAGTAGATGAGGTTGAGCGTATTTTGTCTCACATTCAAGCTATCTTTTGTGCTTATTCTCCACCTTACAAAGCATGCAAAACTATCTTAGTCCAATTAAGTTCCGTTGTCACAGCGGTCCCGTAATGTAGAAGAATTTTTTTCAGCCGTCCATCAAGTTTAACTTTTTTGTTCCTCCACGAACTTTTTTTTGAGCGAGCCTGTAAACACTCGCCTCTATGCAGGTAGTTTTTTTTCTTGCAAAAGCGGACACGGCTAAACACGAAATTTATGGTCAGTAAGTTACCTTTGCATCTATATAAATCATACCTGAAATTACCTTAACGTTTAAAGCGGAACAATAGATAATTAGCTTTTCCTCCTTGGCAAGTCTCATAACATTCCGATAAAATTCATACGCAGCAACAAATTCTATCAAAACCAGGCTCTAATAGTCACTGGACAAGGTCCTAAATAAACTTTATTTACGAAGAAATAATACCAACAGGAAACAGACGGACTCTGATTTCGCATTTTTGATTTCCGACGAGTCAGACCAGGCATGAGGGGGCGCTGTAAGGCTACCTTTTAACTGGGCAACTGCATTCAGCTAGCGTGTACAGCGTGTCCCAGCCTGACGTAGAATATATTCTATGATGGAACGTTTAGGATTTCAATTTCTCGATTATCGTTCTGTAAAAAATATTAAGTTTTTAACACGAATAAGGAATAAATGAAAGACTCTAGTGAACGCTACTTTCAAACGCCTTTACAGGCATTTATTTTAAAATTATGTATCACAAATTCATAAGATACAGTCTTGTGTTATCTACATCTGCTCACAGTTCAACATTCCATACCTGAACATAAATACGTTGCCCCGGTAGAAGCGGTGACGTTACATTTACGAACACATAATAAAACGCCCAACTATAGATGACACGCTGAACAATATTCCATCACGATCGAATTAAACATTCACAATAGCAGCAGGTTCGGATGTTATGAACATGTGATGCGAATGAGCAAACGTGAGTGCATGGTCTTATTAGTCTCAGATAATTGTCTAAAGCGTTCCACCAAAACTAAATGTCTCAACATTTATGGGGATCCGACACATCGTAATTTTCATTACGTAACGAGTCCACGAAATCATTGGCATTCACGTATCTAGTAATTCACGCCCACATGCACCAAATTTGTTCTGATTATATCTCTCTCTCCTTGGGATACATGTACAAATAATCTGTCAACTGGAAATGAAATTGCATCAATTGAATCAAATTGAGATAATTTGAAGAATGTGTACCACGAACGACACAGGAAAAGAGCCTTATTTTGACATAGGTAAAATAATGAAATGTCAATCATCAGTGATTAACTGCCTTACAAAGAACAACTTCTGAAGAAACTGGTTGAAAAATTGTGCACTTTTTCAAAATATCACAAAATTACAATCAACGCTATAAACCTGCATTTGTACGTACGTTAGAGGATAAGTTAAATTCCATAAATTGTCGAGACTGGAATGGTGTCAGTGAAATTCAAAAAATAACTATCAGTCTGTTTCACACACAGTAATAAATATTATCATGCAGTGTGAATGGGAACACACATGATAAGAGTGAGTTCGCTTTCATTGCAGATGAACACGTTGGAAACGTTGCTAAGTCACGACAGGTACTTCAAACCACGGAGCGATATTTTGATGCGAGATTAGGTTGATGTGACCACAAAAGACTAGACCGTTCACCTTGCATCTACAACAAGCTCCATGTCATTGAACAGCACGCATGACATTCATTGAATGATTATAATCGATGAATGCGCTTCTGGGCATTCAAGAGGCCCGCATAATGGAACTTGATGCCTTCTTGAAAAAGGCATCAAAGAGCAAGAAATGTTTGTACCTTCGAGCAGAAGAATGCGAGAAAAGTGCTACGGACTAGTCGCTTCACGGCCTTACTACCGCTGTCTCGGCGCGCGAGATCAGGCATCGAGATACGCGAAATAGGTAGTACTAATTGTAGGCTCCAGATAGTCGCCATATACTACAAAGCATCACCGTGAATAGTGCTCATTAGCCGCGGATACGTAGAGTTCATTAATAATTGACGCATAATGTATACACTGTTTATATTTAACATAGGGCTGCTGAGACAATGTGGATGACGTATCGCATGTGTTGCAAGTCGTTACCTAATTATTTCGTATTAGAAAGTTATAATTTTTGAGGCAAAAATAACCAACTAACAATGGTTACTAAACCCGCGTACTACATGAAAGGCCCTCGCGCACCACAGTTTCTGAACCGCGGCTTCCGTAAATTTTTCAACTATCAAAATAAAAAACAATCAAATTTCTGACAATGGAACATCGCGATAACTATTTCCATGAACTCGCATAAAATGGTAGCACAGCTTCAGAAAACTTGAGGGCATCATTTTCATTTAATTAAAAAACAAATTCAGATACAATTTAGACATCAATTTCATTAAATTTAAAAACAAATTCAGATACAATTTATACATTAAAAGTTAAAAAGGGGTGAAAGCTTCGTCCATAAGCTCCATCGTGCCATCGTTCACTCGAGAAGTGCTCAGCAGAAAAATGCAAGCAATAAACATGCGCAGCGCTCGACATGAAGAGAGATACGTCCTGGAAATTCAGTTAAGTAACAACGATTATAATATAATATTTCACAAAATAAAGGTGCACACAGTGCCTTGCAGATATTCAGATGCTATGTAAGTCATTCGAGCACAAGTGCTATTCTTCTTGCAGCACACAGATCTCGGCCTCCCGTAGACGGCAATCAACCCTTAGACGAACTTGTTGCGGCTGTTCTCGTATAACAAACAAAGCAAACTTATGATACAAGCGAAAATTTATAATTTTCTGAGTCCAATACATAACCAAACGATTACTCGAAGTTGTCTCTTCGACACTCCTTTTATAATAAGTTCTTGAATTTATTGAAAACGTGATGAAAATGATATTGATGATAATTCATCCCCTACTGAGACGAAGAACAAAATATGAAAATAATCTCAGCCCTTCCTCACAGAACAAAATATACGAGACTCAATTGAGATACATGATGCAGATGACGAGCAATACGAACACAATGGGCTTGAAACATTAGCAGCCAATGAGGCCGCTCTAAAATAAGTTCCTGTTGAGAACCTCTTATATTGCTATATCTTAAACATTATGACAAACACATTCGGTTCGGTTTCAGTTAAAATACAAGTATCGTTAGGTCTAAAATATGGGCTACGTCATTCATAGATGTCTGACTCGAACCAAAACTATATTATTATTATTAGTATGGCTGAAATGATGAGACACTCACTACACGGATTAGGAAATCTTCACAATATGTCAAACTTCAATGTTTGAATAAACTTGTAGCAATTACTTTATGCAAGATTGTAAATCATTGTAAAATCCAACATTACCAAGTCGAGGATAAAAATACAGCTGGTACATACAAGTCTGTGTCTAAAAGCTAAAGTTCATTGAACTGAATTAATTAGATTTATTTTGCGGAGAGAATCATCTCCGATTGGGGCGGAGGAGAGGCGTGTCATCGGACATTCCTGCAGCGCTGCCAGGCTGCTCCAGAGTAGGAGGAGGAGGTTGCTGTGGAGCATGCGTTTGAGAACGCTGCTGTTGGATCATGTCAGAAGCTCCGTGTAACATCTCTTGATACTGAGAGGAAATGGAGCCAGAAGGCAGCTGCGCAGAGGAGCCAAGGTGTGAGACCATGGCATCACGGAATGGATCCATGGCAGGAGGAGATGGGGTACGTTGGTACATTCTACTTCGAGGATCGTAAATCGACGACTCTTGTGACTGAAAAGGGTGCCCAGCTCCGGTGCCAGCATCGCTTCTGGGATCCCGATAAGCACCGGACCCGTATTCATCATAATACTGATTTTGATGCCGCCTTCTGTTGGAGAGACCCCTGAGATAAAGACAGCTCATGCCCATATCGTAAACAGTCTGAGTTTGAGGTAGCCATTGAGTAAAAGAGTTATTTCCATCATCTAAATGGCCCAGCGCTGGATGGATGCTTGCTGCCATCTCCAGGCTTGACTGATGTAACGATCCTTGTAGGGACGGCGCCCCACTAAGGACGGAACTCTGCATGGGACCTTCCACATGGGCAACCCCGCCGTTGAAACCACGAGCAACATAACCAGTCTCAGATGGACCAGCCACATTTCGCGTGCCAAAAACTGTAGGCGCCATCCAGTGGGCGATCCTGTCCTGACCCGTGAGATTAAGCGAGTTGATGGAGTGCGCCAGGTCTGTTTCGGCTACTGCAGTCAAGCCGTGGCATTCCTGATGCGGGCGCTGTTTCACCGCCGTGAGGAAAGCAGCCCCACTTTTTGGTGGTTGCCAGTCAGGATTAGTGAGGGCAAAATGCATGAGGGAGAGTTCCGTGCGACCTTTATCGGGTGCATAGAGCCTTTGTTCAGGGTTGGTCTCTTCACCATCGTTGGCCTTGCGCACGTCAGGCTGCCAATTCGGACTACCGTGTTGCTTGATGTCCATTTGTGCGAAAGAACACACGTCACCAATACCTTCCACAGACACAGTGAACATGTGGAAGAAATCCACTATTTCCTTGGCACGGTGACGCAAACTGAAGAACAAAATAAAAGGGACGAACAGAGGTGATATGAGTTCTTCAAGCAGGTGAACAAATTTATATTGAAAGAGGCGCGAGAATTCATCTCGTACTTGCGTCGTGTGGAACCTTCCGGTCCAAGACTCAGGGAGATAATGAATCTGAGTGACTATGCGCTCCATCAACATCTCAGGCACCCATACAAGGTTCTCATCAGGGATGAAATTTCTGCAAACGGCGATAACGATCACAGAAACGGCAAGCAAATTGATGACGTGTTCAACGCGAAGGAAGTCGTCATCAAACAGCGAGATCGCAACAATTACGGCAAATATTGCACTTGCTATAAACACAAGAGTGCCTGCAATGACCGATAAAGCAGGAGAAGAGAAGCTGTTAAGGTAGGCCATTGAAGGTTTATAAGCACGGTTCAGTCGCGAGTTTAACTCATGGTCAAGTTCGTTGTAGTGGCGCAGATAAATTCTACCGTACTGGGACCAGCAGCGACCTGCTAAAGACCCTGGTTCGTTTTTCACTCGCTCAACGTTATGGTAAAGCGAATATAGAACCTGATAGACAAAAACAAAAAACATACTGAAAAAGTTGATGATGGACAAGTAAACAATCTTCTTTTCAAAGCTGGCAATAATCTCTTTCTTTCTGTGAGGCTGTCGTAGCGACTCGGGCGTGATGCTTTGAAGGAGAGACAGTGGGCCCCAGAAGAGCAACAGCTGCAAGTTAAATTCATAGCCTTTAGTGTAGAAGACCATCTCGCCGTAGAAGGGGAGGTTGAAACGCACCGGAATGATGCCTTGATTGACAAGCGCCACCATGTAGTTCTGGTGACGCAGGATGCGCTGATAAATGTCCAGGGAGGTAAGGATGTCTTTATGGACACACATTCGTTGTTGCAACTGCAATATACAAAGTATATATGACGATGTAAAAATAACTTGTGCAGAAAATGAGATGATAGTTAGACTTTAGTGATTATATATTCATCTAATTAATTTATTATATCGATCATATAATGTACTGGATAAAAAAAAATGTGAGTGCAATCCGTTAAAACAGACATGAATATAGAATTGCTAGATTTGCTCAATGACAACCATATTGCATGAATTTGCCAACACTGCCAAGTTGAAGGCAAATACCTGAACTTCCATGAGCTGTTTCTTTACTTCATCCCAAGTGACATTCTGCAGAGCACTGTCCGGGATTTTAAGAGCATTCGAGAAGAAGGCCTTGGTATCCTTGTATTGGGTTGCATTGTGTATAGTATAAACAAGCCGTCCAAGGAGGAAGAGTAGAGCAGCGAACAGAACAATGCCCAACATAACACTGATGCGTGACAGAGTCTCAGAAAAACTGTAGAAGCCATCAGATAAGGTCGTCTTGACTACCACGCCTGAGGTGTTGTTCTTGTTGAGACTTACAGACTCACTACCCAGAAGCACTTCGTAGTTGAGTCCACACAGCACAAGCACCGTCAAAAACACCATGAAGAGATACTGAACCAGGTCTAGCCCATCGCGCAGTAACATAACTGTGAAGCCATTACTCTGGTGGTACCTGCCAAGGTGAATTAAACTATTAGCATTTGGCATGTACGAGGCGGGATTTTAAAAGGAGTTCCACGGGCTGCCGCTGACGCTAGGATCGTTTCTAATCGCGGCTAGGCAACAGAGGCAGGTTGTTTGATTCTCGAACTCCAATCCCTTACCAAGCCAGCCTCCTTGTGACGCTTGGTCTTGCCCCAGCTGTCGTCAGCGATGGAGCTTCATTTTGCGTCTCCCGCCAGCTGCGAGTTGCCGTCTGTTATTCGTTTCTTGGCCGCTCGAAAGAAATCGGCGAAGTAAATTTATGAAGAGCTTTGTCACGCGCATGAAGAAGAGTGTATGAGCTCCGGGATGGTACGCAGATGGGTCAGGGACTTTAGAAATGGCCGAACTGACGTCCACGACGACGCCCGTGCAGGGCGGCCATCGATTTCTGACGAAACAATGGCCAAAGTCGATGCGGTAATGCTTGAAGATCGATGGATTACAGTTCGAGAGCTGAGTGAAAAATTTCTGAGGTCACCAAAACCACAATTGACAAGATTTTGACTGAATATTTAGGCTATTCAAAGGTCGGCGCACGATGGGTACCAAAAAAGCACACAACAGAACACCAGCGGCAGCGGGCGTCGTCGTGGCGATAGCGGCGGCGGGCGTCCCTGCACGGCGTCAGCTCGGCCACTTCTAAGGTCCTGACCCATTTTCGCACTATCCCGGAGTTCAAACACTCTTCCCCATACACTTGACAAAGTTCTTCGTGAATTTACTTCGCCGATCGATTTCTTTCGAGCGGCCAAGAAACGAATAACAGACGGAAACTCACAGCTGGCGGGAGACGCAAAAGGAAGCTCCGTCGCTGACGCCAGCTGGGTCAAGACCAAGCGTCACAAGGAGGCCGGCTTGGTAAGGGATTGGAGTTGGGGAATCAAACAACCTGCCTTTGTTGCCTAGCAGGTTGTTGCCTAGAAACAACCTGCAGGTGCAACAACCTAGTAGTGCAACAATCTGCAGGTTGTTGCCTTCCAATATAAACATTGCAAATTTGGGTAGATGAGGAATATGAAATTAATTGGACCATAACATCATTGTAAAAAAGCTACAGTAAAGAAAGAATTTTAGAGAGGGAAATTTTAATTAAAGCTATTGCTTCTTATTATCTGAAGATTCAGTAATCTTGAAATAAATTAAAAGATATCTATTTGAAATCATTTCTGAGCAATAGATTTGATTTACCCAATTCAGTTGTGAATTTTTAAAAATAAATTCACAGTGCTTCAAAAAGTTTGGCAAGTATATATTGCACTTAATTAAGAAAAAATGAAAAAATGCTCAAGAATGTCTAATTTCCACCTGTAGATCCGTTTGAAGAAGCTGTCCAGGTCATCTACATGATGCCAATCCCTGACCCTCTCAGGGACGCGGTGCATCAGGACATTGTCAGATGATGTGCGTGTTTCTTCGGAACTCCCAAGGCCTCCATCGCCCGAGAACCCCTGGGTGTTAAGATCATGATTATATCATCTCAAAAACCATGTGGTTCTAAAAAATATTAAAGATTAATTCCTCATGCTTCACAAGAATGAAATTGCATTTAACTGAGGTGTACAAAGTCTATTAAAAGAACTTATTTTATAAAAAATTTATGGAAAAAGTTTTGCAACATAGTCCACATTTAAAAGCTGTCAAGTTAAAGAAATGTTCATCAAACAAAATAAGACAGAATCAATTCTAGGAACAGACTAAAAATGAATTGCACTCAACATAAAAGTATCACTCAAATTAAAAATCTATAAGCTTCTTTGAGAGAATAATTACTAGTTCAAATGAAAATAAATAGGTACTTGAAATATTTCCACCAAAGTATAGCACGTTTCATTCATTAAATGTACGGTACTATATATTAAAGGACCAAAGTAACATTTTTTGAGCATTTTACCAGGTTTACAGTGAAAAATATTTAGTACTTTATCTCATCATAAAGAAGTGAGAACAACTTTTTGATGAATAGGCATATAGGTAGGGTTGGGAAAATAAATATCTTAATTCAAACTAAATCCCATACTACTACAATCATTACAAGACATTAGTTTGTAGATAGTAATCAAAATACATAGTTTTTAGCATATAAATAATATAATTTGAAGTTTATCACAATACAGTTATTACACAAGTTACTCACTACACGAGGTGCATCGTGCAATCTATTGAAGCCTTCATAAGTGTGATGTTCATCGAGTCGCTGGTAGCGCTTTTCATACTCGCTGCCCTCCATGGCCAAGCTTCATAACATATTCTTCGTGAGTTCTGGTTAAGTAGAATGAAAAAAGAACAATGAACAAAAAAGATTTTATCAAGTGCATTATTGAGAAAGTGAGATAAAAGGAAAAAATTCTTAATAAGTTTCTTAAATATTGTAAGGAATCTACTTCCATGTTGCAACTAGGTTTTCTGGGTTAATATATGCTACCTACATAAGTGAAACCAAAACAAACCAGCACATAGATGATTGCATCACTATTTGGAATCAGGCTAATGGACGCTTTGGAGGCTTTGCTTGGCTAGTCATGAACGACTAGCAAAGTTTTGGTATATTAGCATATATATATATATATAGGTATATATGAATTAGAAATTGAAATTTACATACATTTTATACCTAGCAGCCAACAAAATTAACTAGGGTAATAAAACTTATTTTCCCAGTTGATCATCATTGAAAATCAAAATTAATAAGTAAAGTAGAATGTATAACAATTTATTAGTTCTAAAACCAAAATGTAGGTACTATTGAGTATTTTATTCAATTGTGGGGGGAGTCGTGAGATGGTGATCAATATGCATGGTGTGATTGGCAGACAATTTATGGCAGACATAGGCATGATAATACAACCATTCTAAAATGTAAACTGGACAATATGGGATTCATTTTGAGCAAAGAATTATAAATACCATGTATATACAAATGATAGCTCCCGCATTATCTTGCTAACAATAGGTAAAGATTCAGGCAATGCAACTATGAGATCATTAACAAAAAAGTTTTGCGCCGGGAAGGGGAGGAGTTGCCAGCAAAGTGTAGTTAGGTATTTGAGGTTCAGCAAGTAAATGATTTTGGTATTTTCCAGATGCATAGAAATAATTACAGGCAAAACATACTTATAAGTTTTAGAACATTTTTTGGTGTAACAAGATTCCTAAAAATCTAATTTAATCTGTAGAAAAACCTGTCCAAAAAATTGCCAATTCTAAAATATCCCTAAATTTGCTGTGACTGAGTCTGAGCTTCTGAGGGCTGGGGCTATAAATTTAATGTATGATTGAGTGTACTGTGTAGTGTGTACTGAATATAATATTTTTTGATAGCTCAAAGGTTGAACAAAGACCAGAGAAAATTTATGTTTTTTTTTCAACAAGTCAAACAATATTTCTCATTGGCATTGGTAGATTGAAAATTAGTTTACCCTCTAATGATATAACTGATAAAGTGAAAAACATTTAAAATAAGTTAATATCATTTTAAATGCATTAAAATTCATTATCAAGTTATAACTGCACAGTGCATACTAGCATGGAATATATCTACCTACTGTTTAAGCCACAACTAGAGCTTCCCAGCCTCTTTCAAACCCACAAGATTGCCAATAGATGAATTACCTACCTCCTGTCTAATTGTTAATGAAACTGCTTGACCAGCCCACAAAATTTCATATGTATAAAAAATTCGTCACTTTGGAGCAAAGCATAGAAAACTTTTAAATTAAGAGCTACAAGCCTACAACTGTCAACTAGAACATACTGCAATTTTTATTTTTTGGAGCCGCAGGAACAAGATTGTCATTAGATGATTTCCCTTAATCTAACCATGGATAAAAGTGTACAATCAGGCTTCAAAAGTCAACATGTAGGCTACTAAAAATTAATTAGCCTACATTGGATTTGGAGCTGTGAGATTTGAGAAACAAGTATTGGAAATTCCAAGCTAGAAAGCAGCAACTTTTTGAGACTCTTCTTTGAGTTTATTTTTGAGTTCTATAACAGATAATAAAAGTAGCTATCTTGATTCTTGGATATCATAAACTGAATCTTGAGCAGATGAGAAAATAAAAATTCACTGATTTGCTTGTTGCCACGCCACTACTGAACTTATAAGATTTAGATTCATCAACTATTTGACCCAGTCAGGGCCTGGAGGCTGCCGGCTGGGGCTGGGGAGTCCCGGAGTGGGGGCCCCGGGCCAGTCTAGTATGGAATATATCTACTTGGCGAGCCGCGACTGAATTTTTCGAGCCGTGGTTTTATGGATTTGCCAGCCGTGATTCCATTTCTAAACAAAAATTTATGACATTCGAGCCGCGAGATTTCATACCTACTGAAATTATATGATATTAGAGCCGCGATATTTTAGACAAAAATAGGACTTTTCTAGACTAGGGGCCAGTGCTCTCAGTGATAGGGTACTATTCAGTCTATTGTACTAAGGGTAATGAGATTTGGAAGTGACAACTGACAAGTGAGTAAAATTCACTCAGTGAATCAGAAATGGGATTCAGATAGATAAAAGTAAAAAATTGTGTAGGTAAGAACTAAGAAGGATGCTTTTTGAAAGTTCAAATCTGGGAATTACTGCAAAAAAGTCATTAATAAAACTCACTGTCACTGTGGCTAGTCTTCAAAAAAATAAGAAATAAAATTACAAATAATAAATTAGCTAGGTATTTATTTATGTGCCAAAATATTCAAAAGTGTTACAATTAACACATTGATATGCTATTTCATAGGTCATAAGCAGCAAGATCTTAAACTTAAAGTTACCTATTTATTCGTACTTGCTGGTTTTTGGACCTTGGTCAAGCTTCAAGCCTCAAGTTGAATCGATCTTATGCTGTAGGGTAACTTAGACAAGTGCCAAGTGGAAAGCTTAAAATAATTCTTAGCTATCCTATTGTCTCTTGCTTATCAGCGCTTAATGTTTGGTCCTTTTCAACAATTTGCTCTTTACTTCAACAATATGCTCAATTTAATCCAAATGTTAACATACATCGGTCAAGATATCAAGAAAAATGAAAGCTACTCGAATCTCCTTTTTGGTCAAATCAAAACATCTCACCTGCCCTACTTCGCTCAGCTGTAATGCGCAAAACAAAGACTGTGCAAGACCATTACAAATGTTACTGGCAAGAGATCTCGGCACGTTTGCACAGTAAATAACAGTAAAATGATTATTTTTGCATTCGTATCGACATGTATCTTTTGAGGCAAAATTTTTTTCTCATTTGCATGTTGGAAGGATTTGTTAGGTTGATTAAGATTATTGGCTCATTGAAGATAGCGATGAATAGCGTTAACATAACATAAAGGTCTCTAAAAGTTTTAGTTGCAAAAAACACCGTTCAAACACTTTAGGGACAAATTTTGAGAGTTTTATTTTCAGTCATAATTTTGTCAAATAGAAACCGATCGTGACCAAACTTACAACATAGATGTTCATTATGCGCTCATGCATGAGCGATTTCAAAATTATCAATGAACGACAAAATTTGAGAGAAATAGAAAAAATCTAAGTGCCAGTCAAAAGAGAAAATTAGCGGACAAACTATCCAATCAGCAATTTGTAATGAATATTTTTTTGTTCTCTTGCAAGTTAGATGGTGATAATTCATTGTTGGGTTTACACGAGCTACGCCTCAGGCGATTCACGCCGAAGCTGTTCTTTGTAGAAACTTAGGGTTAAAAGCGATGGGATTCACTGAGCGAATGTTCGGTTGGTTAGCAGATCTGAGGCCAGGCAACAGTCGACAGCATCTCTTCCCAACAGTGATGCAGGACTGAGCACGAGGGCTCCATGTAAATTATTTTGGCGACGCAGCTTCACCATACACCGTGCTGAGGTAGTGATGCGTTGTCTCTGGGGCTTGGCATAAAGAGCCGGTGGCCGGGCTTGACGTACTTGGGAGAGGGGCTTGATCAATGAAGCAGTGCCGCGACGAATTCGGGCAATACGAAAAAGAACCTCCTATAAGAACTTACAGATGGAAGAAGCATGCAAAGGCAGTGAAAAAAGTAATTCTCGTGTTGTTAAAAAAACGCGAAACATCTTAAATTCAACTATTGAAGGTCTAAAAAGATCCGAGAAGTTTTCAATGAAATGATTGTGAATTTACTCTGCCTATTCTTTGCTCCTTAATTTTCTATTCATATACTGGAAACATCAACAGAATCAACTCTAACTTTTTGACACATAACTTACTCGTACGATGTCGGTCGAGACCATGATATGGCTGAAAAAGTTAGTTTAAAATCCGCCCATAACTACTTCTGGTACGTTGCTCGGAGTCAATCCGCCCGAATATTGATCGTTTAATATTATTTTGACGCTTTCGCTCAAGCCTGAACGATTTATTCGTGTATGAAAAGATTCCCCTGGACAATTGGAGACGCATTTACACAACTGAACTGTGATAAGTTTCAAATACTTCATCCGCCCAAATTGCCTTTGCCCAATTAGTTCACGTTAGGTCGTTACTATCTCCGCTTTAGAACTTCCGAACTACTAAAGTTATTATTTGTGTAGTTGAGGAGAATTGTCTGGAAAATTAATTAGGTCTTCTAGCTGAAACCGCTTTCCAAAATCACACATCTTGGTGTTAAGGTAAAATTCTTTCACTCATGCTGCACTGTTCACCTGAAAAGTGAAAACGAACTCTCAACAGCCTTTTTTCGTGGACCTGATGGCTATCAGACACATTACACTTAAGCGGCACAAATTAATATCACTAAAACCCATCGGATACAAAATATTTACTGACCGACGTTAAACATAAGATGAGAAAGACATGCGCCAAATTACCTGTCAAGATAAGAGGGTGCAACAAATAACCAATTGCTACCAGTTAATTAATGCATTAATGCCGAGAATTATTCTCAGAATTTTATTTATTTTTTTGTTTCCAGTGAGGATATTATCACTTGTGATGGTTTATTTTTCGTTTCAAGGTAAAAATTATAGCTTGGTTATATTTGGAACCGGGCTAATTATTTCTTGATCTAAATGACTTTAGCAACAATAAATCACGTACAGCATACAAGTACTCACTTTATTGATAAAATTCTGCATCTAACTTATAAACGATATATTTTTAGAAGGAACTACTCGCATTTCTCCGCCATGATATTAAGCCGTTCTGTCTGATACCTGGTTCTTATAATCTTCGGATGTGAGTAGCCGGCGGAGCAGAACCAAACGTTGCCACATGTACAAGACGTGTATCAAACCTACGCATCCACCTGTACATTTGTTTGATAATTCAATTTTATAATGAATCAATTTTTCATCGCTGGTTCCAAATGGAGCCGCTCGGCATTCATGGGTAAACTGATCAATGATACAATTTAGGACGAAATTCACGTTCTTAGCAATTGGCAACATCTCCACGGCAACTACCGAAATGGTTTGATTCGAAAACCCTTTAGAAAGATTCAGTTGGGAGGTTTTTCCATGACAATATTTTAGTCGTGTAAAGAATTTTGAATGGTGTTCTTCGCTCCATCCCACTGAACACAGGATATAAGTCCTCGCTCCGCACGCGTATCTTCACGTTAGTTCAGCGATACATTTTTTACTTTCTAGCAGATTATCAGTAACAGTAAAACTATGTATCGTACATCCAAAGGCTAACTTAGCAAAAAAAGTCTATGCTTACCTGTGTGAAAACCAACGCTCGTTCAAAATCTCAACATTCATTATCGAAGGAGAAGCTCGAGACAGTAGCAAGTGAAGCCAACAACAACGCCCTAGCAAGCTTTTCAGCATTGCATTACATACCATATTCAGATGAAATTAACAGCCTGAGATCATGAGGCTAAATTACCTACAGACTGCATCTATTTAATCTCCATCTAGGGCAATAAAACAACAGAAAATTAAGAAGCCGATGTATTGACGTCTCTAAAATATCAACAGGTACAGTAAAATAAAGCTTGAAGCCTGGGCTTCAACGTAGCGCCCAATATAAGCAAAACGAACAAAAAGAAGCAAAAAATGAATTTCCTTCCATGAGATTCCCGGTAAACGAGCACTGGATATTAAAAATTTCCAATAATTACACCCAAATATAAAATAAATTTATGAACCAATGAGAAATTTTCGCGTGACTGCTTCATGATCAAGAACCGAGAATAGACTAAGATTACGCAGAGAATTAACGATTGGCTTGCGAAGACGTACATATCCACCAATGAGGCAATTTACACGATCACATTTCAAGGCAAAGCTACGAATACCTCACGATAAGCCGAAATTAAAAATTCTTGGTCTTCCAAAATATGAAAATTGGGTTGATGTTAATCTAGACATCAATTACGCGTATTCTCAAACGCGTTAGCCGCAAAGCTCGGAGAGCAGCGAGTTCTCGCTAGTAACGCAGAAAGAATGTTTGTGAGGGGTTGTGCGAATCGCATACGAAGCCATAGCGTCACGACAAGACTGAGACAAATAGTTACCATTAAGGCCTGAACAACCATATTTTGAGACTTTATCTAGAGACGAAGTAAGTAGATTAATTACGGCAATAATGACGCGTTGCTGAACATGTCGAATACGTCGATGTAAGAGAACTACACGCTCTCCAGGCAAATGAAGTTGAAACAACGTTGATTACGACTTTATTTCGTAAAAACGACGCTTAAGCTACGTTACTTCAACGTTAGATGCCAGGGATACGTCATCGAGAACTCCAATAACCGTTGACGAGATTCTACCGTCAATTTCACGTCCAAGGAAGCCACGGTATCGCTTGTTTCATCTATGCTACGAGGCAAGGAATGTCGCAGGCATAGCATAGGCTGGCGACGCAGACGTATTGTACGCAGATGTTCGTTAGTAGCGTCGGATGGGAGGTGGGGCGCCGTACCTGAATCAACAGAAACACCTCGAATGAAGTTATCCAATAACGTTACACTACGTAGACTAACATTCCATTCGCATCAAATAAGAGCGATTGGTTCTGTCAAGCAAGACGGAAATCCAATTACGTCTTTAATTAGTTTGACGTCATATTCGTTTACAGCCAACGCAAGACTCGTTTTGTTAGATTTTTTTTCGAAATCCAACATTCTGAAAGATAATATTTGCAATGAGCTGGCGGTAGTTCTTGACTGTGAATTCCAGCAGTAACAAGTTAAAATGATTGACAAGTTCTTGAAGCGTATCCGAAGCATATGCATTCTTTTGCAAAATCAACTTGATTGGACGATACGTCTCAATACTCAATACGACAGTCAATAATTCAAGTACTAAATACATGATCAGCTTCTCAGAAGAACACGCTTGAACAACGATATAGTGTGGGTGCTGCAACCACCCGAAAAAGATACACTCGCAACATGTGGTTTAGAAGAGACGTATCACCTACCGTTCATGGATACAGGAGCACGAGACGCAGTATCAACTGATAATAGCGCATCTCTGGGTTAAGGTTAACAATAGACGATTCTTCACTACCAATACTCACGGCAGGACGGCGCAACAGCCCGCAATGAGGCACGCGCTCGGCGATGTTACCTCGTACGAGCTTCACGCACACCAGCAGTTCACAAACGGCAAGCAGCTACAGTGCAGACAGTTTAGTATAACATATAGGAATCGAAATGCACGCACAGACTGAGAAATTACGATCAACTTCTCAGCTTTAAAATAAGTTACTTTATATGCGTCGGTTACTTTTTTTTTGTTTGAATCGGAATAGATTCTATCTGCACCTGTGCTCACGGATTCGTATACTTGCCGTGCGACGTTCGAATGCTGGTCTCGCACAACTATATAGTAGAATATTCGAGAGGGATTGAATCTACCCTCGAGTTACCGCATGCACCAACCCCTCACCGACGCATGCTCTTTCACGGAGCCCTCGGCTCGACGCTCTAGAGTCGCCGCCATGATGATGATGACGATAGCCATGCCGCAAGCGCGTGGCTTCTTAGCTCGGTTCAAATACTACCTCCAGAACGGAAGCGCAGGCCTTACCGACTGTTCGTATTATTAGGTTATTAAGGAGTCGAACGTCAAACGGAAATCAGTTGAGAGATTCACACTTGTACTTGAAGTGGTACTCTGAATTTTACTACTGAAGTTACGAGCTACGATTTTCATAAGGGAACAAGTCTGGCGTCGGTATGACATCTGTGAGCTGATACGCTAACTGGTAGGACGGCGTCCAGCGCACAATCGCATCCAGTAAGAACGACTCAGACGAGTTGCCGAATTAAATTTTCGTTTACTCAGCTCAAAAACTCCAGTTAATTCAAACTCTTGATGCATGGCTAGATGCTGAGGAAGTCCTGAGCCCGTGTCATGAAGTCCACGAGCCTCGGCGTAGAAACGAGGCGGAGAAGAGGACCGTCGAGGCCGTACTTACCTGGGCGGGGAGGGGGCGCGTCCTGACGGCGAAGGAACCCTGGGCGGATAAAGCAGGTCTCGCTGGGGCGCCGGCGCAGCGTAGTATGGATCACGCGGGCGCCTGTGAATACATCACACTTTCAGACGAATATCATTCATAGTTATGACATGGAATCAAACCTCTCACACTCAAATATCTTTGAACAGCACTGCACGTTCAACTCGAGCAGAGCGCGGCGAAGTGGCATTCAGGATTATTAATATATGAGCAAGTGCACATATTACATCGGAGACAAATTCTGATACTAGATTTCCCCTTTATATTTAGCTAGCATTTAGGAACTATTCAAGTTACATGAATAGATCGATGTTTAGTAGACGAAACACTATTCCTAAAATTTCACCTAATTACTATTACATAATTAAACAGACTCAGTGAGCAGGGGGAGCGAGACTCACACATCGTAGGGCTCAGGACGTCTGTCGTAGGTGAGAGGGACGGTGGGGATGGGGCGGCGGTCAGGGGGTGGGGGGCTGCGACGGGGGGTCAGCGCTGGAGCGGGGGGTGCGGGGCGTCGCTCGTAGGCGTCGTATCTCTCGTACGGATCACGCCTACGTGAACGAAATACTCAATAGTTCAATAGAAAATAAATAGAAATAAACATGCAACGACCATTTATAGCAGATAAAACAGGGTCTTATAGTCTCTCCACTACTCTTTGATAATTGAACATTTCTTAATGCATTAAACAACAATGTAATTTTATTCTATAATATAAAATCCATGGTCCTCAGTGAATATTATTAAATGCTGCTGAAATGTAATGCAGGTGAAACTAAGCACAGGGTTAAACTAGAAAATAAACAATCCCATAAAATTAGCACTAATAATTACAAAATGGACGTCCATCCATGGCCATATAGTTACATATTTAATAATTGTTAATTAAAAAAAACTTTCGTAAGAAATGATACTTGATAAACAGAGTAATTCAAGTCCCAGACCATTATATTTTCTAGAGACTGAACTTATTCAAGACTTAAGGAGAACCTTGTCACTGACAATGGAAACAAAACTCATTTTCTAGAGCAACACGGCAGCACTGACCCATAAGGCATGGCACGTCTCTCAGGCGCTCGGTCGTACTCGTCATAATATCCTCCATTGCGCATAGGAGGTGGGGGCGGCATGGGGCCATATCTGCAACACGAACAATTATTAAACCGGTTACAAACTTCCTGCAATTAATGTCAAATCAAAATTATTTTATCCAGTTTAGATTTATACCTGCAAAATAAACGTTTATCAATCAGAGGAAACGAACAAAAATTAATGCTCAATTAAAAATAATATCAGACAGATAAGATGACATGGGAAGCTTACATAAATTTGTTGCAGACTTTTTTATGTTACATTACCATCACATCAAGAACTTCCATCAAAAATCAGAACCGACAAGCATATCAACAATTTTATATGTTATAAAAAAGAAATTCTTTAAATAGCCTGAGAGTAGCATGGCATATTGTTACAGGATCCCATTTTTGAGATACTTTTGGATATTAACACCAGCATGGATAAAACAGAATATTTCATACTTCATGTTCATTCATATTTCATTACAATTGCCATACTCAATGCACCAAAAATCTCAGTTCTTACAATATTGAAGTTGACGTAGCCATTGTTGATATTAACAATCTGCTAAAGACATTCACAATGACAAATGCACTTCCAGTAGTCTAGTCTTCAACTATAATACACTTGGAAAAATTAATGGGCCAAACTGTCCAGATAACAACACCTTCTGCACATACTGCCACATAGCACTGACACACCCATTTCCTGTAAAGAACTAAATGATAATGAACCAAGCAAGGACAAAAAGTGCTTGGCTATTTGGACAGTCCCATTAATTTTTCCAGGTGTACAAATGGTAACAAACCTTTCAGCAGGATGAGGTGGAAGAGGTCGTCGATCATATCCGGGTCTGTCATAAGGAGTGGGGCGATAATTGTCATATCCATCACCCCCACGAGGTGGGTATGGCTCCCCTCTGCCCCCTCTCATGGGCCCACCTCCCCGACCACCCCAGCCACCCCCCCTGTCCATCCCCCGACCTCCCCTGAACATGCCGCGTCCTCTACCACGACCACCACTTCTCTTTTCTCCCGTTGATTGCTGCAACAACAAGTCATGATGACACAACACAATACATTAAAGTTAAGCATTCCTATTATAATGCCTCTAACATATAAAATTGATTAGCCATTTTCATACACATTATTCAACAGTTATCATGGAGCTCAATTCATGAAAGAACATAGATTGTGCCAGACTCTAAAAACAACCCATGCCAATATTGGGTAGGAAATAAGTGCTAAATGCAATTCTTCAAAAAATATGGGGAAAAACCAAATTTGTTCAGAGTCCAAGACATTGGACTCTCAAACAAAGACATTGGACTCTCAAACGAAGACATTGGACTCTCAAAAGGCTATCAGAAATGAAATTAAATGGCATTTTTCTCTGAAGAACTTCAACTGCTTGAACAAATAAATAAATAATTAGTAATGGAAATTATGATGCTGGAACACTGAAACAGACTGCTTAAACAGAATTTGATATTAGAATTGAAATTCATGTAGAACATAAATTTTTAGTATTTTTCAGTGACTTGATAACTTGAAACTTGACTCCAATATGGCCTTTATTTTGAACCAAAATCAAATTTATTGTCAGTTGAACTGTTGGTGCAGCTGGCTGACCCTGTCTTTTGAATATTTAGTACATAGTATCATCTTGTGAGAGGTGGTGCTTGTGATGCAGGGCAGTCCATGAATACAATAGCACCATGCTGTTATAATATCAGCAAATAGAATTTTTTTTACAAGAACTACATAACAAGAACCCCATTATGTTATTCCATATAACAAGAACACATGACTCACCTCAACACTAATGTTGTAGCCATTAACTTCCTGTTGGTTGAGAGCCTGAATGGCTGCTTCAGCCTCTTCTTCAGACTTCATGTGTACGAAGGCATAACTGCCCATTATGGAACATTCCACCACTTCCCCATGCCTTTCGAAGAGCTTACGTAAAGTTATTTCCCTACAGTTGGGAGGCAACATGCCTACAAAAAGTTTTGTCTTAGGAGGCATTTTGCTCATTAAACCAAAGACCCTTTCACAAGCAAAATTAAAAATTTATTTCAATCACAAGATCTTGCCAACTGAAATGGTACAAAACATGCAAATAAACAATCAGTGATACAGACATATATATACCGTACTCATAATACAGAAATACAACTAAATATACTAAGTAACAAATTATAAATTAATTAAAGTAATTATTAACCCTTTTCAGTTTCACAATTGAATAATGCTATATGTACTAGTAATGTTAATTATTTATGCATTTCTAGCATGCATATTTGTATGATTGGAATTTTCCTACATGATACTGATATCTTGCCACCAGGGTGCAAGTCAACATTCATTTTGAATTACCTCAGTCGTTTGGGTTTTGTGAATGTAGCACTCAAATTACAGGAACAATGCCATTGGCCATCAGACAACCTCCCACACTCATAGCTGCTATTACACTGCCTGCCATCTGTGCAATAAAGCTCAGTCAGTCTAACACTCACTGGTCTGTCTGGTTGAACAATGGGAAAACAATCTTGAACCATACAATAATCCATAATTCAATTCTGTAGTGTGAAGTCACTAATCATTGATGGTCATTTAAAAATCAATAAAAATAATATTCTACCATCCTATAATAGACACTGGTAAATACAGAAAAACTTCTGTTGCAAATTATTTGACCTCAGTTACACTTATTTTTCTGGTAGGTTTATTTATTTTTGCTTTTAATTAGTAAATGACTGGCTAATGAGGTTACATGGCCAGCTGTATTGAGCAATTAAAATTACATGTAATGTTATTAGGCTGAAACACTTGCAACAATGTATTGATATGAAATACTCTACTACATTGGCACCAGAATACAGGATCCTTATATTTAGTTGTGCCAACTCAGGGCTGGAAAAGTCCTATTTTTTCTGAAATATCGCGACTCTAATATCATATAATTTCAGTACCTATGTATGAAATCTCACGGCTCGAATATCATAAATTTTTGTTCGATTGAAAAATTGCAGTTTGCACTTTGCAAATATGTCATTTCATGAAATTTTCAACTCAAGCAATCTGCATTTCTTTACCGTTCCTGCCAAAATATCCTGCAGAATGTATATATCGTAATGTTAACAAGTCAACCTAAATGTTTTGTTGAAGATCGCACATAGTTGCAGTCATGTTAGAGTGGTCAGACTGCATTAACACGTGTCCAGCTTACAGTAAAGACAAATGTTATAGTTGCTGTTTGACTGTTTTAGGGTAAAACTGGAGATTTGGGTAACACATGCATGGACTTTGTAAATAAATTCGCGCCTCATAAATGGCTTTTCACGGCTGAGATATGGTATTCACAGCTCAAAAAAATTGAGAAATGGAGCCATGCTGTGAATTCCAGCCATGATCATGGTTTGGAGAAATGGAATCATGGCTGGCAAATCCATAAAACCACGTCTCTAAAAATACAGTCATGGCTCACCAAGTAGATATATTCCACCCCAGCACCAACTTGCGCATGTGCTTTCACTGTATTTTTGTGAACTATGTACATGAATAACAATTCTGCAACCTCTAACAGCCTCTTTGGGCCCTTAGGGTGATGTGCATTGTATTTAAGTGATTTTAACACTTTTTGGTGGCACTTCATGAAGGTTAATTTTTTTGTGTTCAACATAGACAAATTGTCAATGAATTAATATTTATTGTTTAGTCTAATCGATATACAAGTGGTTCAACTTTCATTCTTCAATGTGTAGTTCTCAAAGTCCTATTTTTTTTCTTCCTTTCTAATTTTAATTAAATTTTAGACCAAAAAACTGGCCAAAATGGATAAAAATTAATATATAATAATGCATTATTATAATATATTTATCATTTATTAGCATCATTATTTAAAATTTATTATTATTGTCAGCTTATCATTGTCATTTATTGTTATAATTCTTCTTTTATCATTAATCTATCATTTTTCATTCTCCTATCATTTATCTATCATATAAAATGGATGCATCAATGAACCCACATCACCCACCTGACACCTGCCCTGCATGCACACGGTCCACCTGCACCCAGCAGTCAGCACCAGGCATAGAATATATCTACTTGGCAAGCCGCAACTGGATTTTTTGAGTCCTGGCTTCATGGGTTTGCCAGCCTTGTTTCCATTTCTTCAAGCCATGGCTTCATGGGTGATGGGTTTGCCAGCTGTGATTACATGTCTTTGAGCCATGAATTCCATATCTTGACCATGAAAAACCATTTATGACCCGCAAACAAAGTTTTTATTTACTAAGTCCCATGTATACAGAGTCCTAGCATAGCAGCATTTGTCTTTAATTAAGCAGCAACTGAACAAGTGATAATGCAGCAAGACCACTCTGACAGTCTGACCCTGATGTGACCACAACTTTGAACTAGTAGTAGTAGTAGTAATATGATGGTAAGATGGTTTGCTAGCACTTCAGCTATCAAGTTATTTTGCACCGAAGTTCAAAATATAACATAGCCAAAGAGGCGGAACATATAAATTATTCAAAATCTGAAGTTAATCATCACCCACAAGGGGGCAGAAGGTCACTCTCAATTGTCCAGCCTGCTGAAACTGGTTCGAAGGAAGCAGTGTTAGCTTCATCTCAAAGAGATGAAGTGACAAGGATGGACAGGTGAAAAGTAACAGAAACGAAGACACTCAAACAAGAGGTTGCTTACATGGGACGTCGGCCACCCGCACGAGAGAGACAGAGAAGGGAAATGTAAGCCGTAGGGAATCCTACCTACATAATAACTTTAACCCCACAACTGAGACCTGCAGTCAGACACCGCAAGCTCAGCAGTGGGGCTCTCAGGATAGTCAGGAACAGTCCCCCTAGGAACGCAAAATACCATAGGACTTCTCAGGCACGCAGACATGCGTCAGAACTCAGAAGTTCCCCCTGAGGGGAAAAAAACTTTGAACTAGGCTTGTGCAATCTTCATGGAGGAAACGTTTTGAGCCGACTTGTTATTACATTCTGCATGTTCCTATTTTGATGGGAGGCAGGAGCATTGAAGATTTGAAGTATATATACTGCACTGCGGATTGCGAAAATTTTATGCAACATGTTTGCGAAGGCCGAAGAGCAAACTGCAATTTTTTCAATCAAACAAAAATTTATGACAGTAGATCTAGAGCAAGAGATTTCATACCTAGGGTAAACGCGGTATATTCCATCACATTAAGGACGCATCGAGAAATGAAAAACTATAAAAAAATAACCGTATGCTTTACTCAAGTTCTGTTTGCTTTAGGTGACTCTCAAAACACCATACTACGCGTCGGCAATGATGAAATGTCACAAAAAATGTTGCCATATTTATGTAAAAGCCTTTAGAATGCAAACCTGCCAAATCCCTATATTCCGTCACGGTGTGTGGCAATATTCGGCACGTGGTGAGGCGTATTCCGTCCGCACTTCAAATTCTACTGATGCGTAATGCTGTCATCCACGTGTTCGAATTCCGTTCGCTGTGTGAGCTGTATTGGAATAAACACGGCTTTGAATTAGAACACTAATGAATATTGAACACTACTTAATTACGCTTTTAATTAACAACTAGGCTATTAAGCTTTTAATTAAGCAAATTTTAATTTTTGTACAAAGCTTGGAACGATCTGTGTGTGTCCAATTCAAGTTGTGATGGAATTGGTTTTCATGAGTCTAAATCCATTTCTCAACTTAATCATCTATTAATTTATTTACCACTTGAAATCAGCGAATACAAGTATACTTAAAGGATTCCTAATATATTCACAGACGTATTTAAAAGTCTCAAACCATAACATTCTTCCTATACAAACAGTTATTCACTATTTGGTAGAGCAAGGTCAACTATCAAATTTGACACATTTTTCGATGATCTCACTGGGTAGTGGGTAGCGTGCATTGTCTCTCTTTGGATCTCAATATTTTCCCGCTAGATGGCCAAGACCTAGTGTTTTGGCATTAGTTCGACGCGCAAATGTATGACGTCACCATTTCAAGTTTCAACCATCAACGAACGCATGGAACCAAAACAAAGCTTAATAGGCCTATAAAGGAAAAACTAGAGAGGTGACGGAATTACCCACGATGACGGAATATACCGCATTTACCCTATCCTGGATACCAGCACTATCATACATAAGAAATTGGTTTAAATCTTGAGTAAATGAGGAAATTATAGGCTAAATGAACTGATTCTAAGAAATCTGTGGTTTGTCACTATTGCGTCTGGCACCATGGGCCACCTGCACTCCTGCAGGCTTGCAGCTGCAGTTCCAGTCAGTCTCAAACTCAACCAAAACATTTTCCTATACCTATTAGTTAGAAATTAGAATAGATAGGTAGGTAGCCTAGCCTATAACATGAGCTTTCTAACGGTGCTAAAATTGTTGAAATTGGCTCATAGTCATAGGAAATCTAGACATGTTAGCTAGTTTTCTCAAAAAATTAAAAAGTGCCAAAACTGGTTCATTTTTGAGACTATCAAATTAAGGAAAAATTCATTGTTTTTCTCTTGTGTTTAGCTATATTATAGTGATTACACCTAGGCAGCTAGGTGGCTAGGCCTAATAGGCTTTTAGCTAATGTTTTTTATTTCAAAGCTTCTCTTTTTAGCCATATAATTTCCACTAATATCAGAGCTTCAGACTTCAGAGGAGAGGTTTTTTTAGTACATATACCTATTTCCAGTCTCATTCAATGATTTAGACTGGTGGACTAGTCCTAGTAAGGCTCACACTAGGTAGGCTAGTCTACTCTCTATTAGTGATGGACTGATGGTACTAGCCAATAGGTACATCACATGAGACATGTCACACGAGTCATGACCAATTGACCACACTCATAGTTAGTTAGTGGCAGTAATTTAGTGATTTTAGTCTGTTACAAATCGTACAACAGAAAATTAATAAATCTTCACACACAATATCTCTATAAATAATAGGAAAATTGCTGCCCTTGCATTCAACTGAATACAATTTTATTAAAATAGTCAAATGAGAGCTACGCCGGTCTACCACAACACAAGAAATATGGCCGTCGTACGGCGTCTCTTTTGCGTAACGATCTCGATATTGCCACAGTGA